CTTATAGAAGTATATATTTAACCGATAACTTTGATGTCATTTTTTTATGCATCAAAAGCTTTCATACTTTTCTCTACACAATCTCATATGCTAAATTATATTCATTTTGAGGAGAGTGATTGTGCTTGATGGTCCATTTAGTAGATTGCAAGTCTCAATCAGATGGAGCTTAACAGAGTGCCTCGCTATTTGCCAGACTATGTTGGTTTCCTCGACATTGCGATCTTTGACTTGGTAACTAATAGAGAATTCTTTTTACGCGTCTTCTTTAACTTTGTAAGACCGAATGAAGTCTCGTTAAATATGTTCATATTGACTCGTTATTCAGTTTGTAATAGGCGTAAGACAATATATACCGAAACATGGAGTTCTACTGGATTAATTCCTTGGTCTTTTGAAGAGATAGAAACAGTTTTCATAATCTTCATGGCAAATAATCATCATTCTTTAGCAGGATTTTGTGTGATTATCAGTGTTTATAGGCATTATGATTATGGATTATGATTTTATTGGGCAGGAACAAAGGCCCATGTCTTTTAAGTATAACTGTTTATTTTCCAGAATCCCATGCGCAGGAAGGAATGATGGCATAAAACACCTTTGTAACTGTTCATAGTTGGTCCTGACCATGCGCACGCACGCACGCTCTTTCAATTTCTATTTGTAATATTTAACTTTAAGATAAGGCGTATTAGAATCTCGACTTGACCGGATCGTTAAATTGCAATTTAACATCAATATATGTATGTATGTATGTATTGGGACCAAATACCAGAGTTGACAATTTTTGGAATAAAGAAAGCTGTACAAGAGTTGGGACAAACCAATTAATATCATCTCCTCTCCTCATGTTGTCTAGCACTAATCTTCTAAGTGTGCATTTGAATTGCATCTAAATTTCTCTATCCCACCCTGCCACTAGAGGATATGTCCGACCCAGAACCTTTATAATCATCTTATGTGAATTAGGTGACGAAGTGATAAAATTTGGAACGGAATTTAAAATTTACTGATCTAATTGAGATATATTAAAATTTCGCTTAAACTTCAAAGTCTGCAAATGAAATTGAACGTTGAATTGAGCAATGTGACATTGAGGTCCATTGAATGATTAATGTGGGCTCATCATAACTATTACCGGTCAAGCTCAAATGTGTCAATTTCTAACTGTCATATGCCTACAATCGTCTGACCATAAATTGAAAAGCAGTCACCCTAGATTTGTAGCCATTACAGACCTGTGGAAAATGTTGTAGAGCTGTCAAATTTGTCAGATGTACAGTGTATCTTGGTCGAAGATGTTTTCAGAGAAGATGTCAATCATCTTGAAAATGCACTACAGCAGGAGGTGACGCTTCGTCCTCGACTCAAAAATACACTTTGGATGAGGCGTCGAAGAGTGTCACCCAATCTCTCAATCTTCTCAAAGGGCACACGTGAAGGGACTTGGGCGAAGTAGTATGGACTTGCATGGCCTCTTGCTTTGCTTTTGCTTGGCTGGCTTCCGTTGACCTTATCTAGAAATATAAAATATTTAATGAATTTCCAATTAGCTTTATTAAGTTATTCTAAAACATTTATTTATGTTGACTTGTTTATTATTTATTAATCATATTTGAAAATTATAAAAACATATTTTATAATTTTTTAGATTTTATAACAATATTTATAATGGTATTTATAACTTGCAATGAACGTAAATACTATTTTAACAAATATAGTTTAATTTAAAATATTAAATATAATTATGCTACATTATTTTATAATTGAACTCTAAATGAAATTTAACTCAAGAGGCACTATTTGTTGTTTTTTTATTAGATAAATGACTTTTTTACACAAAAGATTAAATAATATAATCAACTTTTAATCAGTCATAATACTATAATACCATTCACAAAATATTATGTTCTAATTTATTCTATATTTTTTATACGATCTCATACAGTCAAGGTTCTAAAATGCGAAATATATGACATGCGTTTTGGTTGAGCATTAACTATTACATGCATATGTGTGCTTTTACAAAATATATGCGTAATTATGTGTTTTTCGATTTTTAATATTCTAAACTAATCAATAAATAAAATAATGCATTCTTTGAATTTTATACATATTTTTCAAATTAAAAAAAAAAAACATATTATTAAAAGTCATAAATAGTACAATTACTTGAATTTTATACATATTTTTTAAATTTTGAACAAAAACATATTGCTCAAATTCATAAATCTTGTCTCGCTCTTTATCATATTCATTCCAATTCGATCTCATCTTCTTCATCTAAGTCATCTTTTGTGTCATCTGATGAAAAATCATATTCATTGGGCTCTTTTAGTTCAACTCGATAATTTATATTACCTTTTGTAGATGATAATATATCATTGTCAACTTCCTTCTTATTATCATAACCATCAACAATCGAAGATTGTATATTTCTAGCATCACTTGCCAGTAAAGTTTCTAATTTTCCTTCTTCCTCTTTTTATTCATCAACTTTGTATTATATTGGACAAAAACTAGATTGTTCATCCTTGTGAAATCTAGGCGGTCATCTTCTTGGTGTGTACTGTACTGACATAAAAAAAAAAAGTTGGAATTACTACATCGTGGTTTTTTTTATGAAATCAAGCAATTAATTAAGACACATTTTCACTTTT